CCCCCCCCCCCCCCCCCCCCCCCACAGGTTTCATTACTCTTACCAAGTTGGCTTCAAACCTCAAATTCAGCACACAACCTTTATGAAGAGCATCAGGAGCAAACTCAAGTACAGCCTCACCGTCTCCAATGGTAACGCACCTACAGTACGGTATCTTAAAAAAGGGTTTGGTGCCTCTGTCATTTGTGCAGGATGACATGTTGCATGTAAATATGTGAAACCGTGCGCTGCTTAAAATTGTCATGTCTTGTTTCAGAAAAATCTAATATTTGAGATTTTACCTTCAACATGCAGCTCTGTGAAAGCTAAGATCAAGTGTTGAAAGTCTACATACTAATCAACACATCTCATGTCAGTGTTTTTCTACAGCTTCATCTTGTCTTTCCAGTAACTGTAGATTTAATACACAATACACACGCGTTGTAGGTGCAAGATCTGTAAATATGAAAGCATAAATCGTTGACCAAACTACGCTGTAGGATTTGCATGAACGTGTACAATAACGTCAAAATGCAAAAGCACAATTTGCAACTCCAGGTGAGAGATTTACTAATTTTTCCTTGAATGTGTGTAACCAGCCCAGGGGCAGCCCATCCCTCCAGACCACTGGTTCTATTTGGGGGAGACGGTGTACCTTGTGGCCCAGGCAAAAGTTCTGTTGTCTGGGGAGAGGCTTTACGTGGACTCATGCTATGCCACAAGCTCCAAGGAACCAACCAGCATGCCCAAAGTGGATATCATTGCTAACAATGGGTATGTCTCTAGTGAGAACACAAATGGTATACACTAAGTGGTTTGTCAATTTTACATGTCTTGACTCGTGTTTGTGTGCTGACTTTTTTGATTGCAGCTGCATGACAGACAGCAGGAGGGAGGGCAGCAGCTCCCGGTTCCTGTCGGGAGGGGGCAGTGTGGTGATGTTCTCTGTGGATGCCTTTCTCTTCAGAGCAGTCTCACAAGTAAGACTAATTCTTCTGAAGCTGTCCAGTGGTTTCAAACCTAGGGGTCTGGCCCCTCGCAAGGGTCACCAGATAGATTTGAGGGGTCACGACATGATGAAACCTTTTGCCTCATTAGGGATGTTTTGGGCTTTTTATTTATTCATTTTTATTTTGCTGTGTTGATGCATATGGCATACATTTTGTCAAGGGTGTGAGGTTTTTTTCGTGTAGCCAAAATACAGATCCTCAGACCCACAAGGATGAAAATGCCTCATCGAAACCCATTAAAACCAAAATATTTGATACTACGGCCATCACAGCGTAAAACTCTGCATTAGATCAGGCTTTCAATCAAGAGCTCTAATCATCTGAGTGTAATAAGGCTTTGACTGCTGTCTGTGTATAGGTGCTGTACCTCCACTGTTCAATGTCAATCGGTCTCACCCCTTCCCACACCTCAAAGTCCTGCAACTACAACAAGACTACTGTCAGGTAAGCAAGAGAACCTTCTCTATAACACGGTTGAATGAGACGATTGGATGATATGAAAACAAATTGTGGAAATAATTTTGAAGAGGTTGTTTGTGTGCCTTGAGTGACGTAAACAGTTTGTACTAATGGACATGACTGCTTTGTTGTGTCATGTGTGTAGGTGGGAGGAGCTGGAGGCCACAGCCCCAGTGTGCTCCTGCTGTGATTCCATGTGCTCCGACGTTCAGGACTGTAAGTTGTGGGACCGTAGTTGAACTAAAATGACTGTATATCACACCACAGTAGCTGGTAACTGAAGATAAGTAAAAATATCAGTATTCGTATGTGATAAAAGAATAAAACAGATTCTTAGTTAAGGATTTTCTCACATTATACAGATCATTATGATTTATCTCTTATAGTGATGGTATTGCAGTATAGATAATTCTGCTATACATAATCTGGTGCACGTATCACCAATCCTCCAGTCCGTTTAAATGAAGGTGAGAAAATACCATTATTGGGGCCAGGTGCGTAAATATAGACTTAGTCTTTGTCATTTAGAACTTTAAGTCAGACTTTCTGTCGACACCTAAACGTACCTGTTGCATAAAGCTTCCCTATGAGTGACACTGACTTGGACATGCGCAATGTGTTTTGGGTGGAGAAATGGCAAGTATGGGAGAAAATAATAAACAGTATAAATCCTAAAGATGTTCAGAAACAGTTCAAGTCTCTGGTATGAGAATCTAACAAATTAATGGATAAACAGTTGAAATGGGTAACGTTGGTTAAAGGTAATTGATAGAGATGAAAGTTACCTAAAGGTAATAAACAGTTGGCTTTAAAGTAACGTTATGGATGAAGAGTTGAAATGGTCAGCAAAATCACCTAACAGGTTGTTGCCATAACAACAAATCTCTCGCCGCAGGTTTAACCAGGGGGAGAGGTGGCTTTCCTACCTCAAATACAGTCAGTCTTGATATTTATGCAGGAGACATGCTGAGTGTCAGGTTAGCCTATGACCAGTCCACTTGAGTGTCTCATGGCTTTCCTTTTTCTACTCCAGCTGTCAAGAACACAGTCAGCAGTCCTGGCTGGCTCGTTGGACAGAAACCAAGGATGGCGGTGGCATCTTTTCAAGCAGAGGGAGGAAGAGACAGGGTGGACGAAGGAAAGGATGAGCACCATAAAAAAGTCCAGACTTTTCCATGGGAGATGGAGATTGGCCATGAGGAGGAAAATGATGAAGCCATTCCTGAGGAAACAAAACGGAAGCACAGCACTCCAGTCAGCCAGCAGGTGAAGGAAGAAAAGGAGGGTGAGACAGATGAGGTGGTAGTGGAAAAAGAATTGGCAACATATAGCATTATGTCTGACCAGTTGAGACCAGAGGAGATCCCTAGCACCAGAAATGGTTCTGTGAGGAGTTTGTCCAGTGTCAACAGTAACACTAAGTCATCAAAAGATGGTTCTGGTACCACTATTGCTACAAGAAGTCTTAGTATTGACTATAATGCAAGTAATCCCGGTTCAGCTGAAAATGTTCCCGGAGCTGTAATTCCAAACATTAAACTTTGTCCTAAAGGTGATCAAATGAGTTGTAGTGAAGGACGCGATGCTACTGGTGCAGAGAGCTTTACCCCCAATAATGTTAGAGCTTCATCTGGCACCAGTTCTCCTTGGGATTCAAGAGTCAATGGGAGTCATCTCAAAACTTTAGCTGGGACACATTCTGACACCGCGAACTTTAAAGTTGACCCCCTAGAGTTTCTTAATGTCAGTAGGTTAGGAGAGAGCAGGCTGGAGTCCGAGACAGTGGACAGTCTCCTGTGGTCGGAAGAGGTTGAGTCGGTGGGTAAATCAGTGGGCACCAAGTCCAATGAGTTACGAGGCCAAGTAGGTGTTTATTTTAACGGTGAAGGACCACATAGTTATGGTGACGAAGAAGATGATGATGATGATGATATGCTTCAGAGTCTACAGGTCAGAGGGTTGGAGTCAGATCAGTCCACTGCTCATCCAGCTGACTTCACAGACTCAAACTTTAAAGACTGGTTAGTTGGCGAGTCTGATTCTGAAATTAAAGAAGATGAGGGTTCTGTTGGGTCAGAGGAAACGCTCAAAGACAGCCCCAGTCACTCTGCTGTGGTGGCCGTCACCAATGCCCTGCAGGGCTCTGTGAGCAGCCAGATGTTGGACAGGGGGTGGGCTAAGGGGGCGCTCGGATGGGGCCTGCAGACTTTAGGGTCCATGGTGGAGCAGCCAGCGGAGGAGTTGAGACGGGAGCGGAGGGATGACTTCTATTAAAGATGATCTCAGAGGTGTTGACGTTTCCACAAAGCAGTGATGTGACAATTGGAGCAATAGATTGAAATACTCCTGTGCAGTTGAGTCATTATCTCTTCTAATTAAGCTTATTGGGCTCAAAAAGAGCAGGACATATTATACTATGCTGTTCTATTGGTAGTTGACTGTCACAGCGGGGACTTGAATCCATACACGGAGCATCAGCGGGAGGAAATAAGGCACTTCCTGATTAGCAGACAATCTCATCAGACTGCCTCAGTTTGTGGAGCTTCAACAAATATTGGAACCTCTGTAAATAATCAAGGACCATGAACAGCTGGAGAGCAGTGGAACTCCTGACCCGCTCACTTGGAACATGGAGTACATGGAGAAGGCCAACTTGTCAAGACCAGAGCAGAACCTGGTGGTCAGCTGGCTGTTTCTATGTAGATATGTTGATGAACAATAAACCAAGCCTTCACCTACCTTTGCCTTGATTTCATTATTGTATACATACAGGTGTGTCTCAATGAATTAGAATATCATCAAAGTTAATTTATTTCAGTAATTCAAAAAGTGAAACTCGTATATTATATAGATCAGTGGTTCTCAACTGGTCTGGCTGCAGGACCCACCATCACCCCTTAATGACAGGCCGCGACTCAAATTTTCAACTTCTGAAATGTATTTAATGAAAAGATGGTGCAGTTTGAACCTGAGCTGAAATGTCCACTGCAGTCGTAGTATAGGGAGCTCTCTTGTGCAGAGAAATTGTTCCTGTAAGTCCCCGTCCCACTCGTTTCACCTAAATGAGTCAAACTGCTTTGTTTGTTATGTCTGTAGATTGGTCCATTTGTAATGCAAAATGACCACTTGCCTTAATTCGAGCTGTTATCTGACATTAAAGAATGACTGACATAAAAGAGAGCTTTTGAAAAATGTGTCTTAAAATAAAGTAATTCATTTTAGAAAAAATAATTTCACTGAATTGTCCTGCAGCTTTAAATTCGGTTCTTTCAGGTGTGAAGTGATGTCAATAAAAAAAAAAAGCCACAATTATATTTTTCTCATCTTTGAAAAAGAGGAATTGGTGTGCATTGACTGGTTACTAAACCACTTGTTTCAGCTCTAATCCCCTCTGTTAACATGGATCAGTGAATAAATGTGTTAAGATTCTGATCATACTGGGCTCTCAGGTTTATTTTCTGTCTTCATTTCAGTGGGTACATTTGCTCCATATGAGACATATTTTAAGCCAAATGTGGGATGAATTCTCCTATACTAGGTCTCTCTGGCTATTTTTCTCTTCTGGAGGATGTCCTGTGATTTGACTAACTAACATAATAGTCCTGCTCTGCTATCTATATCCTCGTCTCTCCCCCGTGTCACGGTAGCTATGTCTCAATTCAGGGGCTGCATCCTTCGGAGGCTGCATTCATAGACCGGTTGCGTCACAGCGCTGCGACTAGGCTGTCCCAATTCACGTTTGTTGAAGACTCCTTCAAATGCGGCCTTCAGCTCCCAGATTCGGAGGACACATCTCATGGATCCTTCGCGGCCCAGCATATCCCGAGATGCATTGCGTGCCGGTGAAGATTTTATTTGAACCAACATGGCGGCGAGTGATGCGAGAGCTGGAGAAGCGGCGGGATTCACTTTTAAATGTAAGTATTGGGTTTTAAAATAGATCTTATAACATCACGTGTGTTAAAGTGATCTGTTAAGTTACGTGACGTTCGTAGCTTACAAGCTAACGTTAGCCGCTGCCATTACCGGCAGCTCGTCTGCCTGCATCCGGCCGTAGTTGGCCTTAAAGTAACTTTTAATAACTTCACTTTCAAACCTCAGTTTGAATAATATCTTACTGAGATTGTGACGATTTTATAGGTAATTTATACTTCATATCATCTACATAAACGGACCAACGTGAGCTCAGGTAGACAGGTTGTGAACCTGAAATATCACTTTAAGTCCTCTAACGTTTCAAATTTTGAGATTAATTACACAAATACACTGAATTTGAGTATTTTGCTGATTCTGTTTTGTTACAGAGAGCCAGGAGCTGAGGGGAGAACGATGGACAAACATTCAGCAACCGCAGCTTTGAATTAAGACAGTCCATTTGTAATATCTCCATTTGACCATCCTGTACTTAAGGTTACAGTTACATTAGCTCTCCTGTACAAAGCCTTCAGTAATAACACAACCAGTAGATCCTTCTGATGTGTTAATGTTGCTGTCACAGAGATGACAGTTGTGATGTCACCTTTTTCTTTTATTTATTTAAATTGAAATAAGACATCCATGTAAATGATTTCTGTGATTTTGTGTATATTCTGCTGTGTAAAATTTGTCAATCTTCTAAGTTTGCATCCCTGTGTTAACATTATTGATAAATGTTTCTCTTTTCATTTTCTCAATGTGATTGACAATTTTGGAGAAAATGTGCCTGCAGGGCAACTTATTTAAAAAATATAAAGTATATGCACATGTTACTGCAAGTTAATAAACACGTTTGCTGACATTTGTTTTGCTGCTGTTAATATTAACTGTCTTGATTGAGTTCCTCTGCCTTGGGATTGCTCTATATATCTATATCTCTATATCTATATACTGTATATCTAGATATACAGTTGTGTGAAAGTGTTTGCCCCCTTCCTGATTTCTTATTTTTCTGCATGTTTGTCACACTTGCATGGTTCAGATCAAACAAATTTAAATATTAGACAAAGATCACACAAGTAAACACAAAATGCAGTTTTTAATTGAAGGTTTTTATTATTAAGGGGGGAAAAAAATCCAAACCTACATGGCCCTGTGTGAAAAAGTGATTGCCCCC